TTCTGCTGCCTCCCAGGGTTCCCCCACGTCTCTGACTTGTGGCCTAGCTGGAGTCTATATTGATGCTGCCCCACCCCAAGGTCCCTCTTTTCCCACACTTTTTGGTGCAGCTCGGAAGTGTAGGCCAGCAGATGAGGAAGGCCCCTCTCTGGAACTACAGCTCAATTAAGCCTTCTGGGGGAACATTTTAAACACAGAGATGGCAGCCATCTCACAGATGTAACTGCCATTTCGTTACACCTATCAACAGCTACTGAGGGAAAAGGTTAGTCTCACACAGGAGGCAACTGTCTTCGTCAAGACAGAAAGCCGTCTGCCAAGAAATTCTGAGAGGGCCCAGAGGCTGAAGGAGTGGGCGGGGAAAAGGAGCTAACCCAGCCCGCAGCCAATGGCACGCAAGTACTCTTGAGTGGCGGCTGGGCGGGACTCAGGCAACGCAGCCAGTGGCTAGGGACACGTTCTGATTGACAGATCATTCAGCCAACTCATTTTGGCACGCATAGAATGTTGCCACCCCATCTGGCTTTTATTAATAAGGAAGGATATTTGTATTACTAATTTCACTGACTTTTTGTACACACTTGGCTATTTTTAGAGAGGTATATAGGGCATGCTACTGCACAACTAAACTAATAAACTGCCACATGAGTTACTATCCAGAAAACTGATCTTGGTAATGGTTTTAGTATACTTAAAAATGGATGTCAAGGGTCCTACCCACTTTTAATTTAAGTGTATCCAATTTCCCCTGTAAAGAGATGGAAATCAGCAACTAGAGCACACGATATAATTTAAGCACAAGATATAATTGAATATAATATACGGAATGGGTTTTGAGAGTATGACCCACAACATTACTCCTGTCAAAAAGTACAGTTTCCTGCCATGTCTCCCCTTTTCAGCATTCAATACTGTATGCTTATCTGCAGAAGAAACCAGTACTTAACACGTTATAATTATTCTTGCTTGAATTCTAGCCCACCATAAGATCACACACATACACAAACTGAACTGTTGATTCAGAACCATTATATGGGCAGCAACAATTTATACAAAGTAACCAAGTAGATCTTAACTACTTCCTGAAGGTCAGGGGGCGGTGTGTTATTTTTATATAGGTTTGAATCATGCCCCCTCACGCTGTATGTGGGCACAACAGCATGCGTATTATATAAAAGAAAATATTCGCAAAAGGTACAAAGCAAATAAAGCTTTTCCCCCCTTTTCTTTTAAAAATGCTTTGTGTTCCATTCACCTCCACCTAGGGAGAAAGTCTAATTTTATAGAACTGTGTGATATACAACAAGTTCTTATTACACCTGTTAAGTTTAGAAACTAAGTAGTTCTTTAACTTTCATAAGAATTCAGTGATACCACTACTATTCTCATAAGGCGCTGTAGATTGAAAAGGCTCACCATGTATATGAAGTTGGTCAAGTTAAGGCTTCTTAGAGAAACTGAGAGGCACGGCCAAACTAAGATACGAATTGACTATATCAGTGCTCTAGATATAACCCAGTGGACAAGTTCAGACACTACATTGAACTGCAATTATAATTCAAAAGCACTGTAGCTTGCTCAAGTAACTGTAACTCCAGATGCAGCCATCATGATATATGCCGATGAAGGCGGGGTCATTTCATACATAACCCTTGTCTCCCTACGGCAATCTTTGAGCTGAAGAAAAGTAGTTCCCCCTAATTATCAAAACAACTCTTTAATGAAAGGTTGGATCAGCAAGGAAACCATTACCAAATCCAGTGGAACTCTCTCACAGTTTGTCACTCTGCTGACCATACAATATCACCATCAATAGACCAATCACGCAAAGCACAAGTGGAGAAAAACTCCATCAGAATTGCAATTTACCCGATTATGGCAATCTCAATACCCAACTCGCCATTCAGACCAAGGGTTTAATATAGTAAGACAGGCAGACTAGACTGCTATTCTGCCTCGCCATGAAGGGCAAGGCCCTGGTGTTGCAAGTGGAGGCTGACTTTGTGATAAGAGCAAGGTGGCCAAGAGTGCAGATAGTCAGGTCGGCTATTCTGCCCTGCCAGGTATAGCGCAATGTGGGAGACCCCCGCTAGGCGTAAAGCCAACTGCCAGATGAGGAAGTTCATGGAGGGTGGTTTAGGGCAATTATTGCTGCACCCCAACAGACTGGTCGAGTTCCAGGACCTGTATAAGGCTGACAGGGTGCATCTATCAGACAAGGGCGATGGGTTATTTTTACAGGACTTGTGGCAAGGGATTTGGTCAGCCTTGGGCTGTTAGTGGGGACCAAAGGCCAAAGCAGAGGTTTGGCCTTGGTAGTGGCAGGTTTGTGTGGGCAAGAAATCGAAACCGGTGAGCCCCTTACGGCATTTTCCTGTTAGGGAACACGAGGTCACCAGGAACTGCCTTCAGATTTTAGGGTACAGGGTGGGGTCCAGGGTGTCTTAAGACCGGAGCTAGGTGACCCGCCCGTGAAAAGGGCAAGGATGTTGGTCAGGGGTGTGACACCTGCCTTGCCTGTTCTGTGCTCACTTAGTTGGTCCCTTGCCGCAATGTTATGTTAAATAGTTAATAAAGTGGCCCTTGTTTACTTCCAAACTGTTGTCTGTCTCGTTATTCCAACTGGGGGGGGGCAATGGGGCTCCCAGCCTCCTGGCGACGCCGCTGGATGCCAGGGGCTGTTCTGCCACCCTGGAGGAGACCAGGACAGCAACAGTCACCATGACGCAGCGCGTCATGACATGGGTGGAGGGCAGAGCCGGCCCTGTTAAACTGCTGGGCTCTACTCCCGCCCAGATAGCTGGAACTCGTGCTTGCCCACCGTCCCGCCCTGTTCTTAGTGTACGCTGTTCCTGGCCGCCTATTGGAGCCAGGTAGGAATTTTTTGCCTCTACCCAGGATTGGCTGAAAGGGTGGAGGTGTTTTTGCCTACCTTGCACTGACAGCAGTGGATTGAATAGCTGGTTGTGGTGGTCGACATCTAAATAGGTTGGTCATTTGGCAGGTTTGTGCGGGCAAGAAATTGGAACCAGTGAGCACCTTACGGCGTTTTCCCATTAGGGAACAGGGGGTCATCAGGAACTGCCTTCAGATTTTAGGGTCCAGGGTGGGGAATGGTGATCACCTCTGGGAACCTCTTAGGGTAAGGCTCCTCTCTGCAAGTTGTAAGGCTTCAGGGGTAGGTGCTCCTAGGTGGCAACCAGTTTCGCTGGGCTGCCAGTAGCGAGCCAGATCGCTGGCTCAAGACCGGAGCTAGGTGACCCACCCATGGAAAGGGCAAGGAGGTTGGTCAGGGGAGTGACACCTGCCTTGCCTGTTCCGTGCTCGCTTAGTTGGTCCCTTGCTGCAATGTTATGTTAAATAGTTAATAAAGTGGCCCTTGTTTACTTCCAAACTGTTATCTGTCTTGTTATTGTGACTGGGGGGGCAAGCAGCCATCATGATATATGCTGATGAAGGCGGGGTCATTTCATACATAACCCTTGTCTCCCTACGGTAATCTTTGAGCAGAAGAAAAGTAGATCCCCCTACTTATCAAAACAACTCTTTAATGAGTGGTTGGATCAGCAAGGAAACCATTACCAAACCCAGTGGAACTCTCTCACAGTTTGTCATTCTACTGACTATACAATATCACCATCAATAGACTAATCACGCAAAGCACACGTGGGGAAAAACGCCATCAGAATTGCAATTTACCCGATTATGGCAATCTCAATACCCAACTTGGCATTCAGACCAAGTGTTTAATATAGTAGGATAGGAAGACTAGACATACATATACACACACAATTGAAAACAGAAAGCTCTCTCCTGTTATCTCTACTGTATAGGGCCACTCTAGACGGAAAAAGTTGTCTTTTTTTTAAATAAATCAGCTTCAACCAACCTTACTGTTTAGCTCGAAGAAACTGCAAAAGTATATGAAGGCTATAAATATTTAGGGTGTTTCATATATGACATCACCTTCACATTATGTATTCAAATTTGAGGATTATTTCCTCAGTGTATTTCCAACAGTCAAAGTACTTCTCGCAATAAAGTGTATTTCCAACAGTCAAAGTACTTCTCGCAATAAAGTGTATTTCCAACAGTCAAAGTACTTCTCGCAATAAAACCTATACCACGTTAAGCCCCTCATATTTTTGTTTTGCCTTTTCTCCAAGTATCTCAAGAAGATGTACTCCCTCTTCTATTTCGTTACAGTAACTTTGGGATAACCCAGACTAGCTCAATCCTGTGAGATCTCAGAAGTTAAGCAGGGTCAGCCTTGGCTAAGTATTTGGATGGGTGACCACACATTGGCAGGGAATGGCAAACCACCTCTGGAACATCTCTTGCCTCAAAGAACAAGTCTAGCTCCACACCTAGTAGTGCATAACACTAAAAGAGCTGCCAGACAATCTTAGGATCTCCTGGCTATTCCACACACAATGCCATATGATAATAATAATTGTTACTATTACCTTGGGATGTGGATTGTGATGAGTGTGTGTGACCAGCCCACGGTCACTCAGTGAGCTTCATGACTGTTGTGTCCGCTGACTGCCACCAGAGGCCAGCGCACATGCCTGAGCTTCAGTCCGGCTTAATAATAGGGACTAGGATCCTAGTCCCTCCACTGGGGGAACCAATGGGACCGTGGCGGGAGATTCAAACCCGCCAATGGGACCCAGGGGTGTGTCCCCTGGTCGTGTATATAGTTGGCCTGCCGGCCGTTGTGTAGTGTCTTTTGTTGTGTACCTAATAAAGCGTGCTATGCACTACGTCGTTGTTTGTCGTTCATCCATGCGGCAACCCACTACACAATAATGACTGAGTGCGGATACAAATACAGGATTCCGTAAACCTCATCCAACATGAACGACTACAACCACAATGGCTGATGGAACAGTTGCTTGGTTAAAGCTATTTATGCAGTCACTCACTGTAGTAAGATTTGAACTGAAGCTTCCCCACACCAATATATCTCAAATTGCTTGTATTCTCAGAGAACTTACTTTCCGATATTTTCAGGTAACGCTTGTAGTGAGATGTCATTCATAGAAAGACATGTTAGGTTTTGTAGTTCAGGAAAGCTTTCAGGCAACCTACAGAGAGAGAGTTCTGGTAAGTCAAGGGCAGCAAAAAGAAAGGGTTCTGCTCCTGGAGCAGCTTTTGTTTCAGCAAGCTTGGCTTTGCTCTTCTTCCAACACACCAGCAAAAACATCAATCAATATTAACACCATAATAAAGGAAGTTTTTACAAGCATAAGGAGCTATGAACAAGCTGGCCCACTTAACTATACCTTGACCAGGAAAATATTCTTTAAAAGTTTTGCAAATCTGAGGAAAGGGGAGCTTTTCCAAGGACAAAGAAAGAAGCCTCTGCTCTCTTACTGTCCAGCAGCTTTGCTTCCAATGCTGTGTGGTGACAGCACATGCCATTTTAAAAAGCAAATCAATACTTCATTAAACTGGAGCAGAGCCACAACACCGAAATGAATACAACCCACCCGATAAAAGCCAAACAACATCAATCCGCTCCAGGGGCTTCTTTCCTTAGTCCTGCATAGGAGGAAGATGGCTATCATCAACACTGAATGTATGTCGAAGGACAATTTGCTGCAGATTAGATGTTATCTTATATCTTTTAGACTTTAGATGTGTCTAAAAGACCATGGATCACTTGAATGAAAAGCAGAGATTAACAGCTCACTTTCCACATGGGACTACTGTCTCTAAGGGGCTAATTGCTATTCTTGTGAAAATATTTCTTATGTGTTAAATAGGAAGCAGTTAGTCATTGTTAAGGCCAATATACCTAAGAACAACAACAGTTACATGGCTTGAACCAATCCCAGGAGAACATTTAGACACTTGGAAAGCAAAGAGGCACCATGCTGGAACACTAAAGGAACAGCTCCACCTATCCATCAAACTCTCACTTAAGATTTTATATTCTAGTATAGGTATCAAATACTTATACCTCACATCTGTTCTTAACAGAACAGGAACATTTAACACTGCTATTTTTCTTGGCAGAGCAGGCAGCAATTGAACACTGCCCCCCCCCCCCGTACTTTGCTGAGAAAGTGACAGGTACTTAGTATTAGATCAAGTACTATGTCAAGCTTGAAGCAGCACTGAAAATTCTAAGGAATCCATCAACTCTCCTTTTGTATTTTGACACTAACCATTTTTCTTAATCATACATCATAGCTAAGTTGATACCAGGTGCTACAGATTTTAAAAAATCAGGGCCTCTGTCTACAAAGAATACTCTTCCTTATGTCTGACCAACTTTACAAGCCATTAATAGCTCCTGGAGTGCTCCGCAGCCCATCTTCCTTTTATACAGAGACAGATCTAATTCAATGTTCTTGTTACTGCTGAAATGCATATCTCCAGCACAGACACACGCTGCCTTATTGGGAGAAAACTATGGACACACAATTAACTCACCCAAAGCCAGAATCAGTCACCACAAAAACAGCATTTTCAAAATCTAGGAATCCCAAATTATGACTTTTCATTTCCGCGTTTCAGCAATGCCCATGTTTCTTGCTGATGAACTTGGCTTACCAGTGTATAGGGCCACTGGTTTGACATTCATTCCCACATATCAAGGGTTAACAGGGCCTTCCAGATCTTGGGGTCAGCAGAGTGCTGCAGTGCTGTTTCAATCCTGTGCCAGGAACCAAGGGAAGGCAGTGGAGCTGGACAAGCCGGAGCATGCAGCTTTAAGAGAAGAGGGACCAGGTGGTCTGGATGAATGGGTCCCTTTCCTGGGAGGAACAGCAACTCTTGATGCCATACTCAGATTAATCCTCTTCACCTGCACTGACAGTATAGGAGGGAATGGAGTCTCACACACCTGTTCCCTAGGTACCCTGAACTAGGTACAAAACCCAAGGTATTTCCTACAGTAGGAGGAAAAATGAGCTGCCTTCCCTGGCCACTAGGCAGAGCCAAGATGTAGAGACATTAGCTCCAGGACAGCAGAGAGGGTAAAGTTAAACAGGAAAAAAACATGGTCCATCAGGGGATGGGGGAAATCTAGTATTTAACACTCATGTCCAAGCCTCCATAAACTATTACTCCATGTAATATTTTAACCAACTTCTGCAGTTCTACAGTTATTAAGAACACTACCTGGTGACTTCTGGTTTTCGGCATGGTGGCAGCAGACCAGCTCTGGGAGAGATCCCAAGAAGCTGTGCCGTATCGCTGGATTTGTTGGGGGTTCGAGGGCTCTCGAACTCTCCTGGGTTCCCCGAAGAGGAGCCCAAGCAGGGGGCTTGATCCCAGACTCTCTGTGAACGGCGGCAAGCAGACTGAGTCCAGGATTGCCCTGAAGCACTAACCCGAGCGAGAGCATCTATGGATCTCCATAGCTGCGGAGCCGTGACTACCAGGACAGGGGGAAAACAGCGAACCTCATATGAAGCTTTAATAAATTTCTACACTGTGAGTACTTGAAAAAGCACTGAGATCAGAAGAGATTTGGATGCTATAGCCCTTTAAAGAGATTTTAAAAAGAACGGATGGGTGGAAGGGATCTTCTCCCCCCCCCCCTTTTCTTTGAAGCGGCTTGGAAAAGAAGTATACAACCTGATATTCACAATACTTTTCAAGGGCTAAGAAAGAAACAGTTGATGTCTGGGATTACAGCTTTTTGATATAACTACTTCATTCTTCAAGTGTTATTTGATGTACTGAGACCTTGTGGATTATAATACTGGATTATTTGGACGAGATTTGATTTTATTAAAGCCTCTTTTGGAATTATGATTTTGCCAACTTGGATTTTTATGAAGATACCCTATTGGATTAGAGTTTATTTTAACCTCTTATTTGGATTATAAATTAAGGACAAAGAAAATATATTGCTTGACAAAAAAGGAAGAAAGAAGAAAAGGGATCCCTATAAAACTGCCTAGAGCTTACTTTCACTTTTCAAACATTACTTCAGGATAAGATATGTTCTAATTTTGGAACTGTTATGTCTTTATATGTTGTTGTTACTAAAGTATAGTCTGTTCAGAGTGTAATGTAAACTGTTGATAACTGCCTTTTTGTTTATGCTGACTGGGAGGATGCTTGAGGGCAACGGAGAGAGCCTCTGGTCTTAATACAGTAATCATTGTACAGCACAGAAGGGTGTTTTGACTCAAAGGTATTGATTGGGAGGGTGCTTATGGACAACTAAGAGAGTCTTTGGTTTTAATACAGTAATTATTGTATAGCATAGAAGGTTGTTTTGACTTGAAGCTATAACTATTAATATGGATAAGAAACGAAACCCCTCCCTGCTTCATCTCCTGGCCAAGGTAGATCAGTTTGGCACAGATTACAGAAAAAGAACTACAACACCTAATACAAGATGCTGTAACTTCAGTTGTTAATCCTATGCAGGGGTCATTTTGTAGAAAAAGAGCTAGGGGAACTCATTAGCAAAACTCATTAGCATATGCCACACCCCCTGACATCACCGGAAGTGTGTCATAAGGCCACACCCCCTGATATCACCGGAAATGTGTCATAAGGCCACACACCCCACCCCCAACGGTCCCGGCCGCCACCGCCGGCCTTGCAGCTCCACTGCCGAGCCCCATGAGGGGCCTGGCGGTGGACCTGCAAGGCCGGCGGGAGTGCAAGGAAGCCCCGCGAAGGCCCTCCCTGGCCCCAGGCAGGCAGGGGTGGGGAGAGGCAGGGAGGAAGCAACTTACCCTCTCTCTTCTCCTGCCTCCTCCTGGCTGAATGAGGGCCGGAAGCGGGGTGGCCGGAAGCAGGGGGCGGGGCTTCATCATGTGCCCCGCCCCCCGTACCTCACCCAGGGGAACTGCGTCCCCCCCGAAACGACCTCTGATCCTATGCAAATTCAACTAAATTCCTTACAACAACAGATGACACAGCAGATGATAGAAGTACAAAAACATCTTAAAGAAAATAGACAAGAAATGTCTACTTTGACCAAAGTAGTTAACCAGATGGAAGATAAATCTGAAAAGATGCAACTTAAAGTAGAGAAAGTAGAATCAAAACAAAATTCTATGGAAGATTTCAGAATATATCAGGGAGACAAGATGAAAACTTGAAATCTAACATGGCACAAGCACTTGCAGACTACATGGGTGCAGAAAATCTAGATGAAATATATAATGAAATTGATGTGGCCTATAGAATGAACTCTGCATATGCAACGAGACAAACTGCCAAGAGAAATACATGTGAGATTTTACAAAAGAGCAATAAGAGATGCTATTCTTAAGGTGACAAATGAAACACCTTTCCAAATAGAAGAGACAGAAATAAAAAAATTAAAGGAGATACCTTGGAGAGTGGGAGAGGAGGGAATATATAGAACTTACAAGCATTCTCAGAAAAAATGGAATTGTATATAGATGGTTACTCCCAGAGGTCCTTCTCTTTACATAAAGAGGAAAAAGATATGGAATCAATTCTACCTTCAAAGTGGAATATTTTATTAAAATGCATGGTGAAGATCTGAAAGCTGAGGAGGAACAGGCAGAGACTACTGAGGAACCTCAACAAGAAGCACAAGGAGCAGCTGGAATAACTACAGCACTTGGAGCAAGTGGAATGTCCACAGTACCCCAGATGGTTACAAGACTCAAGTTGAAAAATAAAGACGATGACGATAACAAAATGCAAAATAAGGATGGACAGAGGAAAAATAAAGATAATTTCAATAAATGTTAATGGACTTAATGCACCCCAAAAAAGAAGGCAAATTTTCCAACAATTAAAGAAGATGCAATTAGATCTTATATGTTTACAAGAGATTCATATAAAACATTCAGATCAAAAATATTTGGAGAATAAAAAACTTGGAAAAAGCTTTATCTCCCCAGACAAGGAAAAAAAGAGAGGAGTAGTGACATATGTTAAAGAACATTTACAACCAGAATTAATATACAGTGCTGAAGATGGCAGAATTTTGATAGTACAAATACAAAGACAAGGTAAAAAAACTCTATTATAAACATATATGTTACTTCAATAACTAATTTCTAAACAAAACTAGGAGCTGCGGTGGCTCAAGTGGTTAAGACACTGAACTGCAGGCTGTGGAAGGTCGGTAGTTCAGCAGTTCGAGACCCGAGTGTGCCGCATGACGGAGTGAGCTCCCGTCTCTAGTTCCAGCTCCTGCCAACCTAGCAGTTCAAAAGCAAGAAATTGCAAGTAGATAAATAGGTACCACTTTGGTGGGAAGGTAACAGCGTTCCATGCGCCTCGGCGTCTAGTCATGCCGGCCACATTATCACGGAAATGTCTTCGGACAGCGCTGGCTCTTCAGCTTTGAAACGGAGATGAGCACCGCAACCCTAGAGTCGGATTCGACTGGCTTTCGAGCAAGGGAACCTTTACCTAAACAAAACTATGATGAAATTTGCCTGATTGGAGACTATAATGCTGTTTTTGATAGACTTTCAGATAGAAAAACAATTACTGGAAAACAGAAACAGGGCAATGAACTTCCTAATACATTTTTGCAACTTGTAGAAGACCATATCCTGATTGACTCTTGGAAAGCCAGAAACCCAAAAAAGAAAGACAGCAAGACACAAGCCATGGTCAAGGATAGACATGTGTTGGATTTCTTCAACAATTATAAATGATTTAATAGAAGTTGAAATTTTACCAGCAACCTTTGCAAACCACAATCCTGTTATTCTTACATTACAAAGAAAAAGAGATGGACTTTTAATATATTTTTGTTGAAAAATGAAAAATTCGTAACGGAGACAGAAAAAGAATTTCAAATATTCATTAAACAGAATATCCAACCAGATATTTCTATCAGAACTGTGTGGAATGCATTTAAGGCTTATGCTAGAGGTTGGGCAATTAGAGAAATAGCACGTATAAAAAACAAAAAATGGAAAAATATTCAGAAATTAAGGAACAAATTAAAAAACAGGAAGAAAACATGACACATGATACTACAGCTGAACATTTAAGAGTAGAAATGACGCTTTTACAACATCAAATGAACTGGCTGTTGACAGAAGAAATAACCAAAAAAATTATGTATGCAAAATGAAACTTTTTTGAAAATGCTAATAAGCCAACTAGATGGTTAGCATATAAACTAAGAAAAGAAAAAGAAAAAAGAAGCATAAAAATCTTAAAAGACGGCGAAGGAGAAGAAAAAATTACACCAAATGGTTTTTTAAAAATAATTGAGACATTTTATAGAAAGTTATACCAAAAAGAAGCACCTACATCAGAACAGATCAAAGACTTTTTGAAGAAATACAATCTAAATAAATTTACTGAAGAACAAAGGAAAACTTTAAATGATCAAGTAACTGCCTGTGAAATTATAGAAGCATTAAAGAAACAAAAAAGGGAAGACACCAGGCTCAGATGCCTTATCAGCAGAACTTTACCATGTGTTTGAAGATCAACTGATATTACCATTAAAATATGTTATACAGAGTATAAGAACAGATGGTAAAATACCAGAAACCTGGAATGAAGTTTTAATAACTCTGATACACAAACAAGGCTCAGATGATAAAGAGATTAAAAATTATAGACCAATCTCATTATTAAACGTGCATTATAAAATTTATGCTTCTATTTTAGCTACAAGATTGAAGAAAATATTGACACAGATAATTCATCAAGGTTTCTTACCAAAAAGACAACTTAGAAATAATGTAAGAACTGTCTTAAATGTAACTGAATATTTTGAAGCGCATTCAGAGAGACAAATGACTTTGATTTTCTTGGATGCTGAAAAAGCTTTTGATAATGTCAGTTAGAATTTTATGTTAGAACAGTTGTTAGCGTCCCAATGTGGCAACGAATTTTTTACAATGGTCCAAGCAATTTATACTAAACAGCAAGCAAGGATACTTATTAATGGAGACTTATCACAAAATATTGATATACAAAAAGGAACCAGACAAGGTTGTCCACTCTCACCATTATTGTTTATATTTGTACTTGAACTATTGAATAATATGATTAGAAAAGACAATCATATCAGAGGAGTCAAAATAAGACGAGAAGAATATAAATTACAAGCATATGCAGATGATTCAGTATTTATCTTAGAAAGCCCATTGGGTTCAATTTCACAGTTATTAACAACATTGCAGAATTATGGTCAGATGGCTGGACTGAAGATTAATTTGACCAAGACAAAAATGTTAACAAAAAATATGACTAAAGATCAAGTCCAACAGTTACAAGAGAAATCAGGCTTTGAAGCACAAAAGAGTGTAAAATACTTAGGAATAAACATAGGTGCAGTTCATTGGTGAAAGATAATTACATGGAACTCATGTTAGAAATTAAAAAGGATCTGGAAAAATGGGAAAACTTACAAATATCTTTGATGGGCACAACAGCTACAATAAAGATGAACATCCTTCCAAGATTGCTGTTTTTATTCCAAACAATACCTGTTCTTCAGAATCACCAATGTTTTAAAGAACTTGATAAAATGATGTCACAATATATATGGAAGAATAAAAAAACCAAGAATAAAAATGAAAGCTTTACAGGATGCTAAAGAAGGAGCTGGATTTGCATTAGCAGATTGGCTCTTATATTAGAGAGCAGAAGCACTGACGTGGCTAAAAGAATGGTTTACATTGGAAAATACCAGATTATTAACTTCGGAGGGACATGACCTATTATTAGGATGACATGCATTTATATGGTATGGAAAGTCAGATATACATAAATATTTTAAACAACATTTGGTGAGAAAATCTTTATTGATGGTATGGGAACATATTAAAAGGCTGTTTTATACTAAGACACCTAAATGGATCTCACCACTTGAAGCTTTTACAAATCCTAATTTGCTGGGAAAAATTTGTTGTTGAGAGACGATGATTTGTTAGACAATAAAAATGAACTGAAATCAACAGAAAAACTTAAAGAACAAGAGATTACTATAAACTGGTGGGAAAGAGAAAGAGTACAAATAGAGTTGAGATTTGCTAAAGATAAACCATTTGGTTTTTATTCCAATATAATGGAAATGGATAAGATATTGTTATATGCTGATGATAAATTGATTAAGAAATTGTATATAATAATGTTAGAAGATAAAACACAGGATGAAATAGTTAAAAATTGTATGGTCAAATGGGCACAAAATTTGGGTCATAATATTGATTTAGACCAATCGTCATGTGTATGGAAAACAATACAAAGATTACTAAAGCGACCTCTTATAAGGAAAATATATATAAAGTGTTTTATAGATGGTATATTACTCCAGATAAATTAGGTAAATTCTATCCTGATTTACCAAATGATTGTTGGAAATGTCAAAAAAAATGCTGGTTCTTTTTTTCATATGAGGTGGACATGTGATAAAGTTAAAAGTATTGGTCTTGGATACATGAACTATTACAAAAAGTTTTAAAAACTACTGTATCTTGTACACCAAAACTGTTTTTATTGAATATGACATCAGAGAAATACAAAAAACAAGACTTTTATCTGACCATACATATAGTGACAGCAGCAAAAATATGATATGCTAAATATTGGAGAAGAAACGAAGTCCCTACGAAGGAAGAAGTTATAAATAAAATACTGGAGACAGCAGAGATGGACAATTTAACTTCAATTTTCAGAGGACACAACAAAGAAAATGTTGAGGATACATGGTCAAGATTTTACAAATGGACAGAAGAATATAACATATAAAATTTCCAGACATATAATCAAAATAAAAGGAAATAAGAAATATATGTTTAATTATAAGCAAAAGGTATATATGAAAATTAAAAGATGGATTAAAAAAAATGAATGTTTCTGGATATAGTATGAGGTCGATAATTAGGTAAATAATGATACAAATGAATTCCCCCAACCTGTATTTATGAATGTTTGTCTTTGTATGTCTTACTTATGAAATTATTTATTTATTAAAAAGAAGGTTACCTGGTGAGGGGATTCCCACTGAAGTCTGCTACTTGTAATGATTTGCAGAAGGAAATGCTTTCAGGAATTTCAGGAATATCTAGGGAGGGAAAGGAAATACAACAGTCAGAGATGCAACTGGGAGTCAAAGAGGTCCACACAGACAATGTTAGATTTGGGCAGATTAAAATCCCACAAAGCACGAGACTGTCTAGCAACTATCTTTGTAAAAGCAATGCTCTATGTTAGCTGACATTTATATATAGAACTATCATTTAAGGATTTTGGAAGAACCTAAAGGAACAACCCAGAAAGTTTCTCTTGGCACTCGCTTTAATCTCTATTGCCGCCCTCTCATCATTCAACACACTTGCTGCTCTGTAGCATTCAACAAAGGCTACAGTAGCACAGCATTCCAATATTTGTTTTAAAAAACAACAACACAAAACTCTTGTAGTTTGCAAGAGAATAACCAACCATTTATGCAACCCTGATCTTCTCCAAAGTCAAAATAACCTAGTAGATTTTAGAAGATGAACGTGGCATAACATCATCACGAAGTAAAGTCAAACTACACGTAAAGAGCAAGCAATCCAAGAGTGGACCTCCTAATTATTTTTTTCTGGTGACGAGTATTTGCAGGCCTGCCTCCAATTATACTAGGCTCACAATGTGGGAAGACGGAAACCTCATTTTGTATTCCTTCTCTGAAATAATATCATTTGAGCTTCTGTTTACCCTGCAAGACATGGGAGGTTACAAGTGTTCCCCCAGTGGGGAAAACCATGTGGATCCGCAGGAGCTATTTGATGCCAGAAGAAAAGCACAGTGAAAGGATACTTCTCCATCCTCCCATGCTGGGGACCACATCAAAACTAAGCCCCCCCCCCCAAGTTACAATGTCCCTTTAGAAGACTGTGGATCGCTTATTTTGGTCATGTTTATTTTGACCCTAAGGGCCAGTAGTGAGAAGAGGCAAAGAGATTCTCAGAAAGATTTTAAAGGCCTGGAATTTGACTATATTCATGATTTCCAAAATAAGCCCTCCCCTCAATAACCCAGCTTTAAGAAGAAGAGGAGGAGGAGGAAGAGGAGGAGGAGGAGGAGAGATTGGATTTATACCCCGCCCTTCACTCGGAGTCTCAGAGCGGCTTACAAAATCCTTTCCCTTCCCCTCCCCCTCCCCACAACAGACACTCTGTGAGGTAGGTGGGGCTGAGAGAGCTTTTTCAAGAACTGCTCTTTCAAGAACAGCTCTTAAAGAACTATGGCTTGCCCAAGGTCATCCAGCAGCTTCAAGTGGAGGAGTGAGGAATCAAACCCGGTTCTCGCAGATTAGAGTCCACACACTTAACTGGCTCTCAGCATTCGTTGCTCTCAGATTTATTTTTTTTAAGTAACACAATTTTTAACTTTGGCATGAATAATTTGTGCATTGGCCTATTTCAGTGTTTATAACAATCACTGGCTTGGTAGAATCAGCAAATTTGCTAGAAAGAATGGTTCTCCTAAGGAACAGTGAATGATATCTGATTTGCAAAGCAGAAGTGGGGGGGAGTGAACCACCCTCTCTAAATGGCACCCTTCCACACATACATATTTTGTCATGAACAAGAGATCCTGATAAACTGGCTCCTTCCAATTGCTAAGCACCTAATCAAGTTTAAGGTGCCCGGGTAACTAAGTAACAGGGATTTTTCTAACCCTGGTTTGTCCATGAGTTCCCCAGCCAATTTGCTGCTTATTATTATGTCATGGTAAAAGACTAGCATATACAATAAATGACATGCACACAGTAGCTTACTGTTTATAGAGCTACACAAGAACTATAAATCTTTCCCGGTCTTTTAAAATTTACACATCTGAGGCTACAGATACCGGAGTTAAATCTTTTTATACCAGCACTTACGAACAAACATTTGCTACTGATGACCCTTGAACCCTGAACTACAGGGGAAACTGTGTGGTCAAGGTTGCTGTTAAGACCAAAATATTTCAGCTTTGGCAGAAGATTAACACTTTAAGAATCTCCAAGGTCTCTAGCAGTCAGTTCTGTCTGGGGGAAAATGGGTACAATCAACAAGTGTGCGCTTAGCCACCATGGGGGCAAAAAATCTAATACAGACAGCAGACTTTTTTTTTTTTTGGCTCCTGTTCGTTTCTCCAAAATCATTTTCAGTCAGTCCAACGTATTTGTAAATTAAGCTGTTTTCATTGGACTACAGAAGAATATTCTAAGTAGGTTCTAGAGAGACACATCCTACCCCTTTAATAAAGGCTTAGTGGTATTAGCTTCCATGTCATGAAAAATTTCAGCTGCCCATTTCTATACATTAAGTCTCTATTAAAGGGAGATGGCATATTTCTCCAGGCTTGCTGGAAACTCTAAATGTGTTCTTCCAAATTATGGCAAAATAAAAAGTTGAAAGTCTCAACAAACTCCCATTTATTTTTGCTGCAGCGCAATAATATGGTACTCTTCTAGAATTGTCTCCCAATTCTTACCATCGCGCTATAATACATCCCAACTGCAGATGAAAAACTAGGACAGACAGAAATAAGCACTTGTGTATGGGCACTTATTGAGATGAGACTTGGACTTTCCAGCTCAAAATCTTGGCCACTGCACAATACAGTTCTAAAATGTTTGCTTTGTTTTCAAATCCTTCCATCTTTTTCATACAGAGAAACTAACACAGTATTAGTTGTTTTAAATCATTAAACTGCAGTTGATATTTGTCATCAGCCCTATGCTTCTTTTACAGGTCTGCCTAAACGTTAATGTGCTTCAGCTATACCATACAACATTGTTAGGATCATTTAGAATAGAAGGAAATGTACTTTATATATGTAGCTCAAAGGCACAATCCTTTTCAATACTTTTATGTGCTCTGGAGCCAAGCACTTGGAATCCAACTTCAAGGGCTAAACCTTAGTGAGGGCCTGGCCCAAACTACAACTCAGGTGTACATGCAAGTACAAAGCACATGTCTAGTTTTCAGGGCAAGAAAGAAAAAGTTTCACATTGTGTAAACAAAAGTTTAGCTCTCATCAGAGATTACAGCTGTCCAGAGGTATAAGGATGTCAGACCCACTGTTTCACATGCCTCAAACCTGACTTTTTATGTTTTTTTTCTGCCAAGTGTATACAACTCCTATAGTTCTAGTCACTGTCATAATGATAAAATGTTGACATAGTTGAGAAGCATGTACATTGGAAAGGTAAAATGCTCACCTCCAGCAAATCAGTGGATTGAAGACCTTAGCCTCTATCAATATTTGAACACATGTTATGGAATTATTTTTAGATATTTGGAAACTTTTTATAGATACTTATGGGTATATCATACCACCACTGTAGTTATATTTTGTCTCTATTTGACACTATTTCATGTATATCTTTTGCTTTCTTTTTTAAAAATTCTATTTAGTTGCTGTGTTTTGAGGGTTTTTTCCCTTGTTCTTTATTCTGTTCTTTTTGAAAGAAATTAAAAAAAAAAACAGTTGAGAAACATGTGCGTAAGTTTCCTTAATGCCTAATGGGCAAGGTGAATCTAAACACTTGATTCAGGAAAGAATCAAAGATCTGCAAATCCTGAAAATCAATTACAATACACATTTTATGATATCTAGCTTCTTTTAAAATCATACTACAATTGTCTTTTAAAGAAAAAAGAAAAGAAAAGGGATATTTTGATGACATGGCAAATTCATCCATAAATTCACTAGACAGAATAAATGCTGCTTAAACCAATAGTATATCATACAATCTGCAAAAAAAAACCCTTCTCAATTATGTATAGAATTGACAGATGCAAAATTGTTCACCTCACTGTTGCTAATTTACAAGTACACCTCTGCCTCTATAATGGCTACCGAGGTACAAGTAGGATCAACCCCCTTAAACACAACCTTTCTAATACTGCACACTAATGAATGCTTCATGCAAACGTGATGCTCAGATGCTCTGACTGTACATAGTCACCGCCAAACAAAAAGGCTATAGAACCTGTAATCAGAGGCGGAGCTGTACTGAGAGTAGACAGCTCCCTCCTCTCTTTGGTACAGCCTAAGCTGGCCATGAAACTGCATTTAAAGTTTTAGCCTCTGTGTACATGGAAAACACATCACGGACCATCAAAATTCATTGTAACAGCACTGTTTGCATTTTGTCAGGAATCCCATCCTCGTCGCCAATTGTTAGATCGGGCTAACAAAGACTCGGAGAGTGGTTTCAGCTCAGTGATTCAGCTTTATTGAAGTAGTGAACAAACACTCAAACGCATTCAAAACCAGAACAGGTTAACATTGGGAGCTAGGCTCCTTTTAAACATTCCCGGGCTAACGTAGCCACACCTATTTACAATAATCAACCAGTGAGGTTGCTTGGATAAAGACCAATGAGAGTCTTTCCCTCTCAGGGAGCCAACATAGTTCCGATTGGCCGCTGTTGCAGAGCGACCAATAGGGAGGCAGGTCGGAGGAGCCTTCGTCAGGCTTGAAGCTTTACATGAGAATTGAATGAGGTGATTCATGTAAGTATTCCAATACATTACAGAATGCAAACAAATTTTCTTTAAAAACAAAAAATTACAATCTACCAACTGTCAAACCCACCAATGAACTCAACATTTCTAGGCAGGAGGAGGTGGGTGTGTTTGATAAGTTTATTTTTTAAAAAAACCAAACCTATGTGGCTACCTATCACATCCCAGGAATCCTTTTCTACATAGCCATTTTAGAAGGGGTCCTTAATTTGGGTTTGTCAATCTGAACAATTTAACAAAATGTGGTGTCTACTTGCACAAAAAAGTGCCATAGCTTATAGGATAATTGCAGAATCTCAGGATCGTGCTCAGATATGACTGCCCGGAAGACCCCGGCCAGCAACTAAACTGGAGGTAACCCGTCGTACTTGGAGAGTTATTTAACCAAATGGTCTGAACTACTTTCTCACTTTATCCCACTACATCTATAAACCCTGCCCTTTAACCCTGAGTATCTGCAAAATGCACAGAATCTGTAAAAGTCCCAACAGCTTTCTAAACCTTCAGGGGCAAGTAAGACATTACATGCAATGACAAGTACAACCAAATAACT